AGTTAAGAAGAAAGTCAAAGCAAAGTTCTTAAAAGTTTTCAAGAGTTTTTATCATGTTTTAACTTTGTTTTTAAGACTCGAGTTTAAATTTAAGTAAAGAGTAAAGAGTTGAGATCATTCACAAAAAGTTATAAGGGAACTAAGTATTCCATAAGAGTTTATAAATGTTTTCACATTTGAGAAAGAAAGGGAACATCAATTCAATGAGAGCCTTTGAGCTAATATTTGAATAATTATCTCAAACCAAAGAAAGAAAATGTTTTAGAAATACATGAGCTAAGTATATTTTTGGGAGTAGTATTGAGCTCCGATATGGGGATGCAAATTCATATTAACTCAAGTTTCCATAAACCATGTAGTCATCATGGATATTAAAGGGTCATAATTTTTAGAAGAACACTTAAGTTAAGCTAGTGTACCACTAAGTTAAGCATTTCTATGTGACACCAAAGTATAGGACAATTCAGACAGGTGGGCAAGATATTTTAGCACCACTTAGGCTCATAGTGGTGGTTATCGATTAGAGTATCTCCCATAGAAAATATATTACTTCTTTATATAAGTAAAGTTTAGTTTGTTATTGCATTTTCCTTAACAAATTAAGTTTTTTTCATCTTTTTTACAATATTTATATATATTATGTGTCTCATTACTTTCTATTGACTTAAGTTATGCATGAATTGAGAAGAGCCTTTTTTTACTAGTTTGTTGCTAGGAGTCTCTATGCCAAGGTAAGTGTTCCCTTCATATTCTTTCAAGCTTAATTTTTTTTTAGCATTCCAAATCGCATACTTGTACATTCAATGTACTGGTGTCTATTGTCCTGCATCATCTTATGATGCAAATGCAAGTAACTAACGATCGGCATACCGGCGCATCGTTGTTATAGTAAGTAGTTCAAAGTCTATTCGTGAGCCTCCTTACATTTTGGAGGAACCATTTCATTGTTTTCTAGTTTAGTTCATTAGGATTTTGTGGGGTTTTTCCCAACATCCATCTCAGTTGTTTTTAGAGGCTTCATTGATATTCATATGTTAGTCCTTTGGGTCTTGTCATTATCATTTATTATGTACTAAGACTTGAGTTTCCATTTTAACTATGTGGGATGTTTGCTTTTAAGTCGTTCTAAGTATCCTTTAAACAATTGAATAAGTGATTTTTAATCCTTGTATTAATGTTTTAAATATTCCGTTGAGTAACTAAGTCAGACGAAGAGTTTGCTTGGGACCAGCAATGATTTTCGAGTACAAGTCCCGCCCAGGGTGTAGGCTCGGGGCGTGACAAGATCGATTTCCAAAGATATACTTATCAAAATTCAATTTCATAAAGTTGCACGGGTTCTTTAAAGAGTTATCCAACTAATCATTTAATCGGATTTCATATTTACTTCACCCGATTACTATCAGATTTTCCTACATCTTGATAACTCTGATTTCCTCCAAATCTTAATAAGATTAGAAAAATCCTAATTCTACGAAAATCTTTTTTTGGCCCTGATTTTTCCTTTGTTGGTATTTCTATAACGATAGAATCTGATCGTTACAGCACAATAACACTTACTAAGGCCATCAAAATGAGCCCAAATATGTGTAACTCGCCCAACTCATCTAGAATTTTATGGATTGGGCTTAAGATAAATTAAATTGGGTCAATCTCAATTCATTTAAGTCTTAATCCATTTTAAATAATCTTCTATTAATCCCAATTTAAGAAGGGATTTTTTTTAAAATTTCAATATTTGAACATTTAGTAGGACCCTTTAGCCACATTTTTAGTATTTATTAAAGATATCAATATTTGGTTTGTTATGTATCTAATTCACATTATTTTTATTTTTTTAATTGAAAGAATATAATTATTTAATGATAGAAAGGAGAAATCTTGAGAAAATAATATTTCTTTAAAAGTAACGTATCACTCAAAGTACTTATCAGTTACAAATTTAATATTTTTAAAGAGGAACATATCACTTAATATATCTCATCTTAACATAAAAAAGAAAACCTAAAAAAATATTCAAAAAAAAAATTCTGTCTTCTTCATCATTCTCACATGAATTTTGATGGTATAGGAAATGGAGAATAAAAAGGTTAGACTAATGTGTAGCTATGGTGGAAAAATTCAACTTCTTCCTCATGATCATCAACTCTCCTATGTTGGCGGTGATACCAAAATCCTATTTGTTGAAGTGAATTCAATTAATTTGCGTTATTTTTTCTATCTGACAAGAAGATTTTGAAAATGGGTATGAATTTGTTGACAAATAACTTTTGAGAAGGAATTCTTAACTAGAAATTCGATATAATCGGTGAAATACAATCGATCAAGTATTAATTAACTATTGAATAATTAATTTGTTTGGAAGTTTTGACCTGAAAGTTTTTTTTTACTTTCCTGGGTAATTATAAGTTTTTGATGATGAGGCAGAGTGTACTAATGCACAAGTGAATACATATTTGGATTTAGGTTTGGCAAAAAAAATCAAAAACGAAAAGAGAACATAGCAGATGAAGAAAAAAGAGAGAGTCAAAGAAAAATGTTGCAAAAATTATATTCATACCAGAAATATTAATTTTTGTTTGTCCATTGTTTTTCTTTTACTCAGCATTTGTATGTTTATTTAGAATGTTTGTATTTCTTTTTTAGTTTGTATTCATTCCAATATGTATGTCAAATAGATTTATATTTTTAAGTATAAATATATCATATTTCTTTTCACTGCTAATTTTATTTTTGTAAGAATATTACATCATTCCTCAATTAATTGTATTATTTTTACTTGTATGTTATTCTTTTAGAATCTTGTATCCTTTCTTAAATCGTATTCATATGTAATGATTGAATTATATTGAGATACAATCAGTAATTTTGTAATACAAATAATAGAAAAATATTGGACAGTTAGATCATAAAATTTTTATAACACAGATACAATTTTTAGTTTTTACTATGAAAGTAAATATCAATTTTAATTTGAATGGAAAGTGAACACATAAAATACTAAAGTTGTTAGTATATAATTATGATGAAAACATAGTAAAAAGAAATACATACTTGTTGTCATTGAAGTTGATATTGAAATACAAAAATGAGCACAATAAATACTACACATTTATAGAAAATTTACTTTGATCCTGGTCATGTTTAACTTTTACATGTCAAATTCACACACTCCTATTTTATGATTTTATATTTTTCATTAAAAGATATAAAAAATTAATCTATCATAATCGTCTCGTATATATTTTCAAAAGTTTACCTTCAATCTTGTTCCTTTATTTCTTTTACACGTCAAATTCACACGCGCCTAATTTCACCACGCCTCTTCCAATTACTAACCCATCACTCCCACATTCAAAAAGAAAGATTTTCGTTGTAACAATTACCCATTCCTCTTTCGCCTCATCAATCATCTTCCATTCAGACCACTTCAACATCTCAATATTACCTCCTAAATCAAAAAAAAAAATATTCAGTCTACAATGAGAAAGAAAGGGTCATTTCAAAATACTAAGAATCAAATTTTCAAGATTTTCGTTAAAACATGTCGGAGAAATCAGAACATACTTCTAGATAAAATCTAAGATTAGAAGCGAGCGCTACGGTTGAAATAGAGTCTCTGAAGTTTAATGTTAATTGAACTAGTGAGGAACAATAAGAGCACAAGATACACTTTGAACTAGGATGCAACTTAATAATGGTGAATACACTGTCAATATAAAATTTTTAAAATCAGGCTGAGACTCTTGATTAGACAAATTAATAAGATCCATTTTCTGTTCTTATAGTTTATGTTTTTTTTCAGAATAAATGTTTTCAATTATTCAAAAAAAACCTTTTTTAAAAAAAATAATCTATTACAATCTGAAATTTTTAATGTTATAATTTTAAAGAGTAAATCTATTGTTATAACTTCAAACTATTTATATAATATCTGTCATATATAAAATTTTCACAAAATTAAATATTAGATCTTTCTTTTTAACCAAAGGGAGAGAATACGTTTATTTATTTATTTATATAAAGTTTTATGACTTTTAATTTCAAAATCAAGTATTATTTTTTTATTTTCTAGAATTAGAATATGAATTGTCATTATAAAAATTAAATACCATTTATATTTTTTAGATTAAGGAGATCAAATTATGCGGATAATAACCACATCTTTAGCTTGTTTGATCCAGAAGTAGAATTGAGGTGAATCATAACTCAATCTGACTTCTAATTCAGCGAATTATATTCTCTCTAATTTCAAGTCAATTAGTTCATTTTACACCCTTAATACACAATTCTATTCTCTTCAATTTCCAGTCATTTCGTCCATTTTACACCCTTGCTTGCACTAATATTTTCATCTTCCACTAAATCTAAAAACAGAAAGAGTAAGGACCATAATTTAGATCCTTACTTGAAGTTCCTCTTCAGCTATACAATTGGAGCTTCCACCGGAACTGCGCATCGGCAGAGAAGAAAGTCTTCCTTCTTTACGTTTTTATGGCTTTGTATTAGACTTGTGTACATATTCTTTATCCGTTTTGATTCTATACATAGTACCATCGGATCTCGAATTTATTTGATTAAAAAAAAGGGAGAGAATATGTTTTTTTCACAGAATCACAGGGTTGTTAGATACTTGTGAATATTCTAATAAAAATATAGAAGGCTGAATCTCTTTTTTTAGTCAGAGAATTATTATTTTTAGAATTAAAATACAATGGTCCCGCGCATATGGATATCAAATAAAATTAACAATATCCAATTATAATAATTTCTACCTTTTAGTTTATTCGTTTTATTAACACGTAATATGAAAGTTTATGGAAATAAAAAAGATATTTGAATATTGTTATGTTAAATTAAAAATACATCAAATAATTTTTTATTTTTATACTATTCAATATGGAATATTAAAATTAAAGACAAAAAAAAGAAGTAGAGAAACATTCCTTTGAAAGGACTAACAACAAATTAAAACGGAGTATTTTATTCCATAATGCAGTAGAGCAGATTTGAATAAGTTTTTTTCACGCATTACATTACATTATAAGAAGAGAGAGACATAAAACGAGATGTCAAAAAACCAACTCATTTTGATGCTTCAGAACAACCTTAATTAATATAATGCAACACCATATATGGAAGTTAATTAGTACAAACATGACACACTTTAATTAATTTATATATGTTTGTAATACAGAATACTAAAGCTTTACTAGCTAGTATATACTCCCTATGTCCCAATTTATGTGTATCTTTTCATTTTTCAAAATTCAAACAGTTTATGTTTGATCATAAGTTTGTGAATGAAAATTTCAAATTTTTTGAAATAAAATTTATATATTTATAAACTACGTAAAAAATACTATAAGTCAAATTAATTGATAATTTAAAATATTTAAAAGATTTTATGAAAAACTTACTATCAAAGATATCTTTAAATCTGAAAAAGCGTCAGGGACGGAGGGAATAATATATTAGGCCTCTAGAATGAGTTAGTTGATGAGTAGTCCCAAAGACAATCATCCATTTCTTGGTAATCACTCATTTCATAAGTATAGTTGATGTCTTCATGAGTAGTCCACATATGTGGTGAATCCATAGGGAAGTCATTAATAGCTTGAATTTCAGTTGGAGATAATCCTACTGTAACTGGTGCTCCATGTCCATGACTAGAAGAGGCCATTGAATTCGTGTTTTGAACTGTAATTGCAGCCTGTTGAGCAGCCAAACGTATATCTTCAGGCGAAGAACTTGCTGGTTTAGGGAAATGTTCAATCAATTCTGGGAAATTTAACTTAGCTGCATGTCCCCTGAAGTGAAATGCAGCTGAATCATACGCAGCTGCAGCCATCTGTGCTGTCTCAAAACTCCCTAGCCATATCCTCGTTTTTTTCCCTGGCTCACGGATTTCAGACACCCATTTACCCCATTTCCTCTTTCTAACACCTCTATATTCTGATGTTATACCACTCATTCTCTTACCGTCTTCTATTTTATTAATCAAGCAAAAGTGTGTTCGACTTAACTATATATATATAGTTAAGAGTAGGGAGGTTCCATGTTATTTCAGCGTGGGACAAGAGTGTTAAAAGTTTTAAATATCTAAGAATAATGCGTTACGGGTTAGCAGCAACTATGTGAAGCACGTTTGTTAATGATAAATTAATAATGTTTTCAACTGTTGGTTTATTAACATTAATATCTGGGGAAATATTGAAATATTATTAGTAAAAGAAGAGGAAAAATGGATGAGGTTCTTTGTTAGGTGATGTTTTACTGTTCTAAGACACGGTTTTTAAGTAAGTGTCAAGTTTTCAGTTCAAAGTTGATTCAAAAAAAGAATGTTAATTAAATGGCCCCACAACACCTCGTACACTTTCCCACATCACTTCAAATAAAATAGAACAAACTGCTTCTCCTAAAGAACTTGTTAGATATTAAACAAAAAAAATTTGTATAATATATAAAGATGATTCTTAATTTGATTTTAGCTGATAATTATAATTTTTAAATTATGGATGTGTATAAATAAATAAATATCTAATTTTTTATAAAATTAAATAAATTAATATATTCTTTTTACATGATAATTTTGTGTCTTACATGGAGTCCAATGTATATATATTGTCATGTAGGACATATGTATCTACTTATTCAAATTTATAAAAGTTTAAATTTTTACTTTTGTACACACAAAAATGGAAAAGATAGATTTCCGCGAAAGCCAAATTTAAGAATCATATTTTATGTATTACGCAAAAAAAAAAATGAACCTGTTAGAATGTTTGGGGTGATTTATATATTTATTACGGTAATTGAATTTTTCGTTTAATTAAAATTCAAACACAATTTGATTTTTCATTTTGACTAGTAATTTCTCTCATAGGAAAATGTTTATATCAAACGCAATCCTAAATTGGATTACGATGACCTCAAACATAAAATATCAGTAGGCAAGCTATAAAACTCAAACACAATTGCTTAGATCTCATCACGAGACGGCCACGGGAATTAGGAATTAGCGAGAGTGCTCATATTAGGCCTTGCATAAGAAAACATGCAAAATTTTTGTACATGTAACAACACATGGGGTAATTAGTAAGCATCATAGGTCTATCAGAATCATATTACTATAACAAAAATAATTTTTAGTAGCAATAAATATTAACATAAATAAAGAGTGATATTATTGATATTAATTAAGTGTCATCAAAACTTATGTCGCTAAAGACTTTAGAAATATATACAAATAGTGTTAATTACCACTAAATATATATTTAATGAAAATTAAAAATTAATTATCGCTAATAATCTTTTTTGATATAGTGTATAAAAACTAAATAAATATAAGAGGAACAATGGTTTTACACCTATATGGCGTAACTACTAAATGGATCAAAGCTCATAAATACCAATAGGAGATAAACACAGAAATAACCAAAAAATATGGGATGATGCAACACATGATATCAGTGTTATCTCTAATATTTTCAGCATGCGTAGCCAAATTTGTAGCTACAGGTATGTGCATGATGCCAGTGTAATACTCACTATGTATCGATTAGTTAGTACTCTAAATTGATAATTATGCATGGATCTATTATTTTCTCTGTGTTTTTATCTATACTCAGTGATTGTAAATATCGATTGAGCTCTATAGTTCAATTTTGGCGTGAAAAAGCAAAATGAAGTTGGGTAAAACTTCAATAGTTACGACTGAAAGAGAATAATTTGGTTTATTTTTTTACCGAAAAAGGCCTAAAATACCTCCGAAGTGTTGGAAATGGTATAAAATTATCCTCCATCTACCTATTGGCTCCCAATTACCCTTTCCACCCACCTATTGGCTCAAAAATATCATCGTCATCCACCTTTGGATTCATAATTGACTATTTATTTAATAGTTTCAAATTTAAACTATTTAAATATTTTTAGAAATATTTGGCGCTCAATTATTGGATATAACTTAATTTATTAATATCATTTATAAATCAACTCACTACCAACCCATTACTAATCAAGCTCCACCCAATTAATATACAATTTCTAATATCAAAATCGCCCTAAACACTACTAAAGCACGACGTTTACCGATTCCTGAAAATGACATTCAAATTTATTTGAGTCTCAATTGAAGCCCCAATTAAATTTAGGTTGAGCCTCTTATTTAGGAGGACACTTTCAATAGGATTCTGTTTCAAGCTTGAATTCGAAATTTATGATTAAAGGTAAAAAAGTAGCACCTCTCGCATTAATTCATGCACTTTTTTAAATATAATTTTATAAATATTTATTATTTTTTTTAAATATTAAAACTTTAATATATATATATATATATATATACCATTAAGTAACATCACATAATTAAGGCGAATGAATAATTAAGATGAACATAGTAGACTTTTATGTTATCGGTAATTTTTATTTGGACATTTGAATTGTAATATGTGTTGATTGACGACTTGAATGTATGATAATATACTTTTATAGACATTTTTGACTTAAATTTTTCGAAACATTCATTGATAGTAATTTTCTTGTTGTGTATTAATAATGAGGCGAGTTTATTAATTGGATATGGTTTAATTAGTAATGGTTGGGTAGTAGAATTTATAACAAATTATATTAATAAGTTTAATTATAACAAATAGATAATCACCATGGATTAAATTTTTTTTAAATAGTTTAAATTTGAAATCGTTAAATAAGTGGTTAATTTTGAGTCCAAAAATGAATGAGAAGGGTATTTTAGAGCCAATATGTGAATGAGAAGGGTATTTTGAAACCAATAGGTGAATGAAGGGTAATTTTGTACAATTACTGATACTTTAAGATTATTTTAAGCCCTTTTCCATATTTTTTATTTAATAATATGAGATAGGAACATTCTATCTACTGAAACAATGATTGGTTTTTTATTGGTAAGGGTCTTAAGTTCGATAGAACGAAAGGATATCCATTTGATAGTTCGAGAGAATATTACATGAGGTCTAGACGGAAAGCTATCCATACTTTTACCGATTTGATTTTGATTAATATCTGCCTATTATTTGTAAACCCCATTAAATGGGCACACTATCCATACTAGTTGTTTCCAAACATGGCTGATTGTATTTTTTTCTGATATCTTATTTTTGATACTTCGATATTGATAATCTCTAGTTGTGAGTATATATGCTCTACCTTGAAAGCATGAAATCTCTAACTTGAATGTTAAATTATTATAATACCTTCAATTTAAAAATATCTAATTTATTATATATTTTATATTTTATATTATATTTTATTTATTTGTTCTATATTATACTGACACCTGATACCTTTTAAGATTGATGGATAGTGACTTTTTCAAATCGTTGTGACTTTTTTTTTATAGAGTTGTGATTTTTTCAATGAGTTATATGACATTTTCAAAAAGTTGTGATTTTCCTCAAGGGTTGTAACTCATCTGATAAGGCACGATAAACACATTTTCATATTATCATTTTTTGTCTATAAATAGAGAGATTTTTTCATACTTTTAACTATACATTTTGTTATTTTTTATTTTTCTTCGTAATACAAGAAAAATTGCGAGAGTTGTTCAAATATGCAATTACAATATCTTTTGTGTGTAAGCTAGACAGATCAACAAGAATAGATTCATTAAGGAGAATGAAATAACTCAACTTCAAATAAGAAGTATGTATAGATAATTAATATGTACACATTTTCATAGACATTTATATATTCTTTTGCAACAACTTCTACTTGTCATGAAGTTCAACGATTTTTTGTTGCAGAAACTACAACTTGGTGTTCAAGCTATATAAGTCTCAAACTGTTTGAGAAAAATGATTTGATCAAAACTTTTTGAAGAGTCCAAACGAGTTTTAATAGGTTGTTTCTCCTTTTTCAATTTGTTTGTTGTACTTTTATTTTTATTCAGTTTAATATAATATGTGCTTTTTTAACTTAGGGTATGGGGCACATCTTTAAGATCACAAAGTTAAAATACATTTTTATATGTTCTGAAGATCGTTAAATTAAAAAGTCTTCTTTATTTTTTAAATTTCATGGCAAATTAAAATTAGACAAATCTATATCCTTTTGTTGTCTATAATTAAGAGATTTTCTGACACTTTTAAACTACAAATTTTGTAAATTTTCTATTCCTCTTCTTAATACAAAGAAGATTGTGAGAGTTACTCAAATATGCAGATACAATAATTTTTGTGGTAAACTAGATAAATTAACAAAATGATGCAACAAAAAAAATGGAACAACTCAACTTTAATCGAGAAGACTATCTAGATAATTACTATGTACTCATTCTCATAGCAATAAATATACTTTTGCAACAATTTCTACTTGACAAGAAGTTCAATAATTTCCTGTTGTACACACTACAACTTAGTGTTCAAGTTGTGTAAGTCTCAAATTGTTAGAAAAAAACATCACTTACTTGTTTGAAGAGTCCGTACTAGATTCAATAGGTACTCCCCCATTTTCAATTTATTTGTTGTACTTGTATTTTTAATAAGTTCTTAATATGGAATTGTGGTTTTCCTTAAAGGCAGGGATACATCTTATCTAAGGTTCAACAAACCTTGGATTAGTTGTCCCTCCATTTCTAGAAATAAAATAAGACTATATGGTATAAACAATCTAGGGACTAAATAAAATAAACTAGCCAAACAATGTATTAGATGGACTTAATTTTAATCTATGAACTATTCTATTTGATACGAGTCATGAATGCACTAAATATGAGAAAATGCATGAGCCTAAACATGATAACATCATAAGTTTAAACATGATATTGCATGAGCGATTGAATCATACCAACCGGGTAAGCTAAAATCATACACTGCGCAATGTTAAATGTAATATAAAATCATGATAAATGTATAAAATATAAGCTAAGTGAGAAATCATATCCTTTTTGGGATGTTTGCAACTAACCGACATAAGCCACGTGAGCTATAACATGATATCTGATTT